GTGCAGCCAAGCTGTTCCCAAGTTCCTGCCCACAGAAACCATGACAGATCATAAAATGATTGCTGTTGTTTTAAACCACTACGTATTGGGGGTGATGTGTTATGGAGGGAGGGATAACCAGAGTGATCTCTAAGGGTACTTCTAGCTCTGAGGTCCCTCTCCAGTTTCCTCTAGAATTCTAAACAAAACATGCTAAAAATCCAATGTGGAGAATAAAAAGATATTATCTCTATAATATTCATTCATTCATTCATTCAACAAGTTTAACTGATTACTTAGTGTGTACTAGGCTTGGGACTAGACACCATGGATACAAAAACAGTAATGCACCGTTGTGCCCATTGAGGGAAGATCATGTGCCCATTGAGGGAAGATCATGGTGTAGTTAAGGAGCCCACAAAATCCCCAACCCCTTGGTTCAGTATTCCAGCCCTCCACCCCCCACCCCCCCACCTCCAGGCACTGACTCTTCATGGGACTGCCAGCCCACAGCCCCAATGTCCTGTGTAACGTCTAGTGGCCCCGGACAGAGACCCCTCAGCCTAAGCACCCTCTTCCCTGACCCACAGTAGAGATAAGGTCTTCTTGTTTTGCTACCTGCAGCACCCTGACTTCTCCTTTCTAATAATCACCGCACTTGTAATTCACTCGACAGTCAGTCAGCAAATACGCATTGACGTCCCCCACGAGCCCGGCATGACGCAGGTGCTGCTGATACATTTGTTCAATATCTGCCTTCCCGACTGCTTCCAAGAGGGCAGGTACCCTGACTTTCCTGGTTGCCACTGTATCTCCAGCACAGTTCCTGACATATAGAAGATGCTCAATAAATATACTCCTATGAATGAATTAACAGAAAGAATAAGAACTTAAGAACATCCACACTCTCAAGCCAGTGATCAAAATAACCATCTGAGTCCTGGCTCCTAAACAAATAAACAACAATAGTAATAACAAAATAAAAATGGCTACACTTTATGGGGTATACATGATATGCATCAGATACGGTAACATGTGCTTTCTGTACGTTGTCTTATTTACGCTTCGCAGCAGCCCGGCATAATTAGATCCCTCTATACACAGCTAGGACGTACTGGAGCCTGGTCACACCCACGACTAGCTGGTCCCTAGGCCCAAGGGCTCCAAGGTGACACCTCTCTTTGACTCAGGGAAGCAGAGGATGTGGGAGCCCTAGAAAAAGGTGAGCTTAACGGGGCTGAAGTGACAAGAGGGGACTGACTGGGAGAAGAAAGGGTTCTCCTTTGTCCTCATTCACACCTGTCCTCCCACCTGGTCATCTGCCTCACGAAAGGTCAGCTCTAGCACTGAGAATTACAGCATCTTCCCTCAGTCCTTCACTCATCCAATCAGCACTCACTACGTACGGGCTCCTTCCAGCAATGACACTGAAGGTACTCTCAGAGATGCCGCATTAGTTAACCCTCACAAACGGGGCCCATGGCTCAGAGAGGTGGCGCGAGTCACCCGAGGCCTTCCATCCAGTTAGTGACTGGCACCTGCATTTCCTCGGTCCTGACTCAGCGCACATTCCTCGGGATGGTGCATTCTGGTCATGGCTCCGTCCTTATGTGGAGGATGCTGCGTGTCTCGTCCCCTCCCCATCACAGGAATGTTCTTCTACCCAACACCCTGCCTCTCTGGCTTCTCGCAGCTCAAATGGCTACCCCACCTGGGCCAAGTAAGGCCACGTATTTGACCATGGGGGTGGCGGGCTTTCCAAGTGACTTACCGAGCACCTACCACAGTGCCTGCTGCGCAGACCTACTAAGTGCTTTCTAAAAGAACAAATGCATGAGTCAGGAGAGACATGAGTCAGACATCTGCTGGCATGAGACAGCTCGAGAGCGCGTGCAGTTGTGCATCCTCCAAGTGCCCAAAGGACCCCGTGCGCACTGCGCCTCCTGAATCTCTGAGAGTGAAAGGGATTCCCATGAGGGCCCTTCACATCGACAACGACAGTGAGGCAGAGACAGAAGCCAAGCCAGGGCTTCGGATGGCAGAAAAAGGATCCTGTGCTGAACCACTGCTGGTTCCGACGCCAGTGGAGAAACGCGTCTCCCCACGAAGCCATCATTGTTTTACAGGCACTCCCTGAGAAGAACCTATTTGACAGGCGACGCTGACAAGTGGAAATGAGATAAACTCGTCTCTTGACCTAGGTCAACCCCAAACAGGGCTTGGAGCTTCTGAGCTGACGGAACCATTTATAAAATACACTGAGTCAAATTTCATTCGTCTAATTATTCCTCAGGGAACAACCCACTCCATATCACCATGATTCCCACAGCGTTACTCTTTTAAGTCTTAAAATTTTATCTGGAGACAGAAGGTAGATTAGTGGTTGCGTAGGGCTGAGGAGGGGTGGGGAATGGAAGGGTGACGAGTAAAGGGCGTGTGTGGGGTTTCTGTTTGGGGTAATGAAAGTGTTCTAGGGGGTGGCCGGTTAGCTCAGGTGGTTAGAGCGCAGTGGTCATAACACCAAGGTTGCCGGTTCGATCCCCACGTGGGCCACTGAGCTGCACTCTCCACAACTAGATTGAAACCACTACTTGACTTGGAGCTGATGGGTCCTGGAAAAACACACTGTTCCCCAATAAAAATAAGTAAGTAAGTAAATAAATAAATAAATAAATCTATTATAAAAAAAGAGAAAGTGTTCTAAAATTGACTTATGGTGATGGATTCACAAGTCTGTGATTATACTGAAGGCCACTGAACTGTACACTTTAAATGGGTCAGTTGTATGGTATGTGAATTGTATGAATCTCAATAAAGCTGTTTTAAAAAGCCCCACTGAATTATAACAGGTAGACATTCTCATGTCACTGTACTAACGTATTAATGTTTTAGCCATTAACCTTTTCTTAACAATTTAAGGTCCCTGCTGTGAGCACAGTTTTTCTTATCTGCTATGATACAGCAATGTTCTCAGTATTACAATGCACAGGGCTGTTTGCCCTAACACTAAGCAGCCCCATGTTTATTCTGCTTACTTTATTTTCCTCTAAAAATGCCCTTTACTTTCACCTTAAAGCTTGGTGGTTAAGTTCACGTGCTTGGGTCATATATCACGTACTGAAGTCAATGTGACCCCTCACTGACTGTGTGATCCCTGGAGAATTACTAGTGTTCTCTGTGCCTCCGTTTCTCCATATGTAAAATAACGGAACCAACCTCACTGGAGGGTTGTGAGGATTAAATAAGATAATAAGTATAAAGTGCTTAACGCTGTTCTTGGCAGTGGGAACCCAGATGAAATTTTAGCTTTCAACACCGTTCTTGATGTCAGGGACGCCGCCTGGAGCAGCCCTTCTGAGCTGTGGGCCCCAAACCAGAAAACCTGCAAAGTGTGTTCAGTACTCCTGGCGTTCAGTAAGATGAAATGGCGGTGGGGAGAGCGGGGAGAAGGGGGCGGCAACTTCATTATTGGACTTTGGGACATCCCATCGGATGGCTCCGAGCTTCAGTGAAATTAGGTAATTTGTCCCAGGACACCCCACCCCTGAACAGAAAAACCTGGAGGCCTGATGAGGTCTCCCATGATCCTGGTCTCTGGAACACTGGTGCCAAAGGGGACACAGTCACCCAAAACACTTAGGCTCTCTCTAAACCAATAGTTTTTAAAATTCAGAGGTCACAGACACATTTGAGAATCTGAGGAAAGCTATGGACACTTGGCCCAGAGAAGTGTGAGTGTGAGTGT